TGTAGTTATTTATTTTATTATCATTCTCGATTTAGTTAAATAACATAAATTATAATTTAAGCTTTTTAAATCTCGCGTCAAATATCATCTTTCTATCCTTCCTTCCGCTTCGGTTTAAATCTTTCCTGCTATTAGTACATTTTGGAAAAAATAATCGTCCTGATTTTCATGTATGAAATCTTAATTTCTCATCATCTAATAAATTCATTGTAGTAAATATTATCCATGAGAATCTTCCCATTCTATTTTCCTCCTTGACAACACTGTCGTTGACATGGAGATCCGAACATCCGAAAACTCAGCTTTTAAAGAGATTTCATTACGACGATTCCTCGTTTAGTATTCAATTCCTTCTTAAGCAATTCTATGACGAAAGAAAAGTTAGCGCTCATACGCCGATGATTTTTGACAAACAAATAACTCGATGATTAACCTCTAATTAACAAACTTTGACGCAACGGTCATCGTAACGAAACTTGAAACGCAAGGTTTGACGTACCTATAGAGACTCTTTCTGGCCACTTACAATGAAATCGAATTCAAATGCAGCCCTTGACAGGTTAAGGGGAATAAGTGGCACTTGGCTTTCCTGAGAAAATAAAGTTACATTTTAAAGGTTGCATTTAATTTTAAATATTTTTTCATTTTTCAACTTCAAAATGAGCCCAAATTACCTTTTTACTTGGCAACATTTGCTTTCTGTAAATAGTTTCACATTCCATTTCGCCACAAATCCTTCGCCGTAACATTTTTGTCTACTTAAACGGCAAGTTTCTGCCTAACTCTATTTTCACAGAAAGTGTAAAATCCCTTAGCCTCTGGATACCACAATTCAATGTAGGCTCACGCACATTTGCTAAGAGGAGAAGAAACAAACATGTCAATTGTGTAAACTACTTCAAACGAAACATACAACAAATTATTCGATGTGTTTGTTTTGCTTTTGGATGTGGAAGAAATATCTGTAGCTACGGTTTGTCCGTGCAGCGCACGTGAGACTACATTAGTTTAGTGATTCCGAGCGCGCCAACTGCTAAGGTCATTAGTCCCGTAAGATCAGTAAATGTTTTTATTGCAGGAGGTGGCGGTGAACTTCCCCGCTGGATGGCAAGGACCGGCACCGACCTACTCGTTGGATATTTTTCCCAACCAGGTAACTCCACAGCCGGAACAAGCTCTAAGATCTCCACCGGGCTCTCGACATCTGGCATGTAAGTATATGTAAGAAGAGGGAGAATAATACAAGAAAGTGGAAGGAAAGGTTCCGCGCGGTCCGTGGCTCGTTTGTTAGGCTACTGCCCGAAAATTGGTGTTGATCGGAGAAACCACAGAAAACTACCGATCAGAGCAGCCGGCCGCTAGAATTCTCCTCAAGACAGCGACTGAACGCGACTTATAGCGTAGCCAGTCGTCGAATATCTTGCCTCCGTTGGGAGTGAAACGTCTGGATCTCCTTGTCAGAAACACTGAAGTGACATCAGTTGACGCCCTGAGCCACCTTATCCGATTGACGCTTTGAAAATATTTGACAGATAAGCATGCAGATGACAGTGCATGAGTGGGGAAGTCACTTTAACTATATAGCATTATTCATTAATACATGTTTCCTCCTCTTGCTACAAGAGAGCTGTGGAATTTGGATGATTCTGACCCTTGTAAGCGGTAAGACGACGGTTCCCTCTCAGATCGTTCCTTAAATCTCGATCAAACTAAATTTTCTTATAGCTATCATAGAAATAAATAAATATACATTTCTCCTCAAACGTCAAAGCAAATATTTTATTCAAGAATTATATTCGTAAGAAGAACATTTGTTCCTTCCGTCCGTGAGCAACCCTTCCTCCCCTCAATTGAATTCCTTTGCTGTGCTCGACGTCATCGCCTCTCGGTGCCCGACTGTGCAGTCGGCTCGCGGGAGCAGGGCACGCAGAGAGAAATCGCGAGTGAGAAAAAGCCGAGGTTGCGTGCGGTTCCGTCCGCCCCGTGCGGTCGCTGATGAGCGCGTTGCGAAAGGTCAGGGTGCGAGCGCTGACCTCGGAGGCAGCGGCGACACAATGCGCACGACGTCACGCCACGCCACGCCACGCCACGCCTCTTCCCGCATCTGCCACGCCCCCTCCCCCCTTCGCCTCACGTCACGCCCGCACGCCATCGGGCTCAATATAATTAAATGCACACCTGAATGTGAATTCCAGCGGCCGGTTCTGGCGTTCTGCTCTGATCGGTAGTTTTACGTGGTGTCTGGGCGAATGTCGGAGCAGTACCCTACGTAACGGCCATGGACCGCGCGTGATATTTCCTTCCTCTTCCTCGTCCTTGTTCTTACTCCTTGTCACATCATCATCCCTTACTTACTCAAACTTGCACTTACATGAACAACACTACCACACATATCGGGAGAACGGTCGGGAGCTGACAGCTTGTCCCGGCTGTGGCGGTGCCCTACAGGTGGGAGATACCTGGTTGGGGAAAATCCTGTGAGCTGAAGGGTAGGTTGGCGCCGGATCTCGCCATCTAGTGAACACCGCCACTTACCGTGATAAATAATCGTGCACCACACTTATGGCACTAATGATCTTAGCAGTTCAGGCACTCGGAATCACCAATCAATGAAAACTACGTATGTGTTTGGGCGGCGGAACTATTACCTAGGCTTTTTAGTACGTATTATGCCAGTACTGTTTCTAAACAATTTTGATTTCCCAGTGCAGTTCTCAGAACTTAATGGATTTACTCGGAAGAGGGTGAGAGTTTAGGCTCTAAAATATCTCATTTAGGCTCCTACTAGATTAGGTTTTTAAAACGAAAAAAATCACTTTTTATTTTCTGCAATAATGCAAATTTCTGCATAAATTGATATGAATTTTCAGAAAATGACGTTTCAAAGTAAATTATACTTTATTTCCAGCTATTTTATTAAAAAAATAAGTAGCATTTAGTTTAAAATAAATTAAGATATAAATGATAAACCATAATTGTAGGAATATAGATATAAAAAAGAGTAACGAAATACACTTTTCTTTAAAAGTTCTCAAATGAAACTATTTTTCATAATTTGCCTCACAGTAAACAACCAAAACTTCATCTAAATTAAGAGTCTGGAATCTTTCTTCATCAGACATAAATGGTTCAGCGTCTGAGGTTTCAACCGTTTAAAATTTGATGCAGAGCGAAGCCATGTAACTCCTGTAATATGTAAAGCGGGAGAATGGTTCATCGTATTTTGTAGCAAGAATGATCGAGTTTTTAAGAAAAACTTAATTTGAAAGTATTTCTACGAATTAACTTAGTCGAGTACGCTTGTAACTGAGGCAATTGCAATGAACTGATTGTAAGTTGAATCAATTGCTGGCAATTAGAGACACAGAAAGTTCGTGATGATATTCCTAGAACAGGACATCCTCTCGTTAAGATGTTTGGATTACGAAATAAGCTTGTAAATAGTCAGTTTTGTTTTAAGTAGTGGTGCTATCAACACACACACTTCCTCGCATTACTTATGAATGCTCCGCTATCTTATACTTCTACATAAACCTGCAAAAGTGTTTTAACCAGCAAAAATGTTTTTCGGCTCGGAGGCCGGAACTCAGTTAACCCGCCATTACTCATATCACTACGCCTCAGAAGCACCGTATGGGTAAACCCAGGATGACGCTCCAAAACGTAAATGATCGCTTCAAGTACCCTCAAAAATGAAAATATCCGGTTGAAACTCCCAAAGCCTCGAATTCTTTCAGATCGATTGGGGAATATCAATTTTGAAGAAAATCGGATGGACTGTTTAGGCGCTAGTCTTGGTCACAGACAGACGTTTTTGCCGTGTAATCGATTTTTCGGTATCGAGGACCCACAAAACATAGATTCTTACTACAACAGGTGTTAGAGGATTTTTTTTCTATGTTTAGCAACTGGATGTATCTCCTTCTTCGTGGATAAATTCGCGTTCCCAATAAGAATTGTTCTGCCGAAAATTTGCCATTTTCCGACGCACGATTACATAACTTTTTCTTCTAACGAAGTACCTTCATAAGGGCGACAAAGTAAACATCCAATAAGGGTAAAAGTACAGACAAAAATCTATATTTAGACTCAGGCATTATTAATTTTTTTTAATATGTCGCGAAATGGACTACAATCCCGCAGATACTTCTTCCTTTTATTTCCGCCCCAGAGTCGCCACTGATGGGCGCCGCCTTCTCCACCGAACGACGCGTGCACGACCTCCGCAGTAGCCGACACCATCGCTCCCCCCCCTGCCAGCCCCCTGGGCGAGGGGGCCCTTCAAAAAAGGCCCCGGGCGGTGGCGGCGGCGGCGGCGGCGCACCGGCCGGTTTTTTCTGCAGGTACGGCTCGCACTGTTCCCCGAATAATTGGGCGCGGGGAAAGCGGTTGTGAATGCTCTATAGTTTCTGGCGACCTCCGAGACCCTCCTGCTTGGCCCGGCCCGGCACGCCCGGCGCGCGCTTCGCAGTCGCTCAGGCCCGCAGCCCGAGGTGCCCCGCTGGCGACGGCCGCGGGCCGCGCTGCGTGAAGTGCTTACGTCCAATTAGGCCCCGGCGAGGAGGCACGACGCGACGCGACGCGACGCGAAGGCGTGCGGCCTGGAGATTGCGTGAGTTGCCATCAAGTGGTGTCGTGTGACACGGTAAACTGCTTGCAGATTTCACGAGTCTCAATCAGGAGGTGGCGTGTGACAGGCGGGTTATCTGGTGATTTCAATCTGGCGCTGTCGGGTGATAGGATTTCTGGTGATTTCAATCATGCGGTGTCGTGTGTCAAGCGGGCTATCTAGTGATTTCTATCTGGCGCTGTCGGGTGATAGGCAGGATTTCTGGTGATTTCAATCAGGCCGTGTCGTGTGACAAGTTGGGCTATCTGGAGATTTCGTGAGTTGCGATCAGATGGTGTCGTGTGACATAGCGGTCTGTCTGCAGATTTGGTGAGCTGGTGATGAGGTGGTGTCGTGTGTCTGGAGGTTTGGTGGGCTGCAAGAGTCGGCGATGCTGGAGAGAGGAAGGAGGCGGAGGGCGGGGGCGGTGGGCCACGGACGCCTGCGGCGACGGTGGCAGAAGCCACCGACCTCCGCAACACCCAAGAAGAAGAGCAGCCACAAGAAGACGACTTTGGTGTTCACAACAAATGGGTAACATTACGGAAATTACTTTCCACAGAAGTAATAAATTTTAATTGTATGCCAGAAAATAAGACGTAACCATAAATCACTCACTGGAGTGAAATATACATTCATTGCGATAATTTTATGGCTTGAGAAAATGCACAATTTTGGACAGAAAATGCAGTATAATGTTTACACTAATCTTACTGCAATTATTTTATATAATTTCTTTATTACGTTCCATTAATAACATGAATAAGATTTGCGGAGAAATATTATGGTAATTGTCTTCAGATGCGAGTTTGACACATGTAATCTAAAACCATTCGTCTGAAATTTTAATTCATATTTTTTATATTGATATAAAGAGTCAGTTGTCTATTTATTAAGGTATCATTGCTAATTCTGTGATCATCGATGCTCTGTGATCATCCACGCCCAGAATATTGACAGTTCTTTTGTCTTGTTTCGATTATTTCATGTTAGATACACTACGTTCCACACAACAATACATAATCTAAATCGAATCAAGTATTTATGTATGTTACACAATCAAATAATTATTTATCAATTGTAGAAATTCAGTTTTGCAAAGTAGTGCAAAATAAAAAAGAAAGTTCAGAAAAGATAAAATCTTTAAATTTCAAGGAACGCTTGTTCCGTTATTCATTAATAACATAGCAAGTGGAGTACGAAATGGACTGGCAATGCTTGACCATTGCATCCCGTTTACCGGCAATCCGTTGATTTTTGATTGATTGATTTGTGGTTCTGGGCGCTCCAACTGCTAAGGTCGTCAGCCCCATAAGTGTATTACATGTTTTTTTTTTATTGCGGGATGAGATGGTGATCTCCCTCTGGCTGGCGAGATCCGGAACCGAACTAAAAGTAGGCTTGCGGGGTTTTCCACATCCAGGTATCTGTCACCAGCGAGGCACCGCCCCAGCCAAGACACACTATACGCTGCCGACTGGTCTCGGGGCATGTGTGGTAGTGTAGCGCATGAAGGTGTATGTGTCTGTGTAAAGGGAAATGATAGACTAACGAGGAGGAATGAAAGATCGCGCGCGGTCCGTGGCCCGTTTGTTAGGGTACGGCATTTGACCGGAGAAGCCGGCCGCAAGAATTCTCCTCCAGGCCGCGCGTGGCTGAATTCGACCTACTGGCAATCGGTGCATCCACGTGCTACCAAAGGAAGCCCCATTGGGAATCCGAACATACTCAAGCAGAGGGCGCCGTGAACCACCGTAAGGGGCTAATTCGGCCGAATGGACGCTGACGCGTCCCCGCGACGTGGGGGGGGGCAAGAGGGGCACGCGCGGGCCCCAAAGCCCCGATCGATCTCCTTTGTGCAGATATTTGTTTGTGCCGATGCCTTTTGGGGGAGGGGCCGTCCCATCGAAGGGCTCTGTGGCGGCGCTCAACACTGAAATTGGCGGCTTTTACCACTCAGAGAGGGACACGTCCTCACGCGGAATTCTACCACCTCGTTAGACTTCGATTTTTCTATAGCGGCCGATCACTTTAGGTCATTGTTACATCTCCTGCCTTATGACACGAATCTTTTTAACAGTGGTAAGCACATTTCTGAGGCCACGAGCCACGTTGAGAAGGAGGTTCGAGAATTAATTAAAAATATTCAGTTTATAAGGCAGGAGAAGTAACAATGGCCTGATATCATTGGCCAGTAAAGAAAAATCGAAGTACACATACATGCTAAGCGAGGCGCCTCCGGCATATGCAATTTGTTATTTGTGCTATGCAACTTCAGTAAAAAAATCACAATGTTTTCTGGGTCAGTCATCCTCGATTATAGATTGCTTTTATGAAGAAGTATCAATAGAATAACTTTTTAAATGTATATTATTTATTACAGAATTAGGTTTAACTATCGCCATTCTTATGAATCTTGTGATGATGTACGTTATGGCGAAAGAGTAGAATATTAATTCATCATAAAGGCGTTTCAGCTCTGTAGTTGCCTTGAAACCTCCTCCCCCACCTATCCACCCATTTTTTCTAGAGCACGTTTTTTTTTACTTTCTAGATTTGCTTCGTAAGAAGAGAAAATTGTATAATCGTGCGCCGGAAAACAGAATTTTCGAGAGAAAAAAACTTATAACGATAGAGTAGCCCAGATAACGAGAAAGTGGATAAATCCTGTTCCTTTAAGTAGTAGGCGTAAATTACTTCCTCTAACACATTGTGTAGTCAGAAACCAATTTAGTCCTTGATACCTAAAAATATATTGAGGACAATAGCCTATCTGCTCGTCCGTCCGTATGTCCCTTTGCCCCTTTTACCGTTTGTCCGTCCGTCTGTCGGTGGTTAACGCTAGCATCTAATCCTTCATGTGATTGTCTTCAAAATTGATATTTCCCTATCGCTTTAATGGAACTCAAGGCTCAGCAAATTCAAAACGGTTATTTTCATTTTGGGGGTATACTATAAAAGGCCTCAAAAACATTTTCTAAATTTTCTTATTAATAGCCCTAAATATTTTGATTAAACTTTGTATTAATGGTTTTTTTCTTAAGGGAATCGGTTTTCAAAGGCATTTCTAGAAACAAGGCCAAACAATTTTTCGAAAATATGAGTAGTTTTGCGTAAATTTGTATGTAATGAAGGCGATTTTAAAAACATGGTTTTCTGAAAAATGTTTCCGAATGTTTTTAATATGTTTTTCTTCGGAGAGGGCAAAGGACCCTAAAAAAGTTCGCGAGTCAATTTTCGTTGAACTTCGTAAATTTTCAAAACTTGCAAAAGTTCCAAATACTGCAAGAAAGTATAGGCAGTGGTAGCACCACTAGTTTATAATTGTTATCATTTTAAACTGAAAATTATCAACTTGCAAACTCGTGATGTAAAACTAACCAATTTTCCTCAGACAACGAAATTGAAAGGCACTGTTCCAAAGCGAGTATAGCGTTGGTCGCACTCATTCAAGAAGGTGTGATTGATGGATGTTTAAATTTGATAGACCAATTTCTATGTAGTTAAATCAATTTTCAACCATCGTTTTGCATGATAATTTTAATTAATGAAGACCAGCGGTGCTAAAACACCACGTACTTTCTCGCCCGCAGTTTCACCTAATATTACGCGAAAAGTATACACTGTTTTGAAAAATTGTACATGACCTTACTGCAAAATATATATTTAAGGAACAGATTTCATTTACGGAAAAAATATCTATCTTGATAATCGTAATTGTAGGAAGACGCTGAATAAAATTTTTAATTTTTGCAATATTCAAAAAATCACGGTTTGTCACGTACAGGAGACCAACACCATTCTTTTAAACGACTTCACACTATCGAAAAACAAAATTTAATCAAAAACGATGGAGCCATTTTTTTGGAAAATATCTCAGGGGCGTCATGTAAAGTACCCCGGAAATTAAAATATCGGTTTCTAATTCATAGAGTCGTGACATCAGCGAGATTGATTGGGGAAAATCAATTTTGGAATAATGTTCAGAGACGGGCAGACAGACGGACAGAATGACAGACAGAAGTTTTGCCGTCATTCGAATTTTCGGTGTCAAGATCCCACAAATCATGGATTCTGGCAACACAAAATAAGAGAGAATGTTTTTTCTCAATTTAACAACTGGTTTTATCTACATTTTCGTTTCGAGTGCCCTGTAATAAGAGGTTTTCTACCGAATATCCGCCTTTATTTCGCGTAGCATTACATAACTTTATCTCTGCTGAGTAAAGCGGTAGCGAGAAATTAATCGCTACATGGAAGAATGTGTCTGGAAGGCATTGTATCTGCCAGCAGTCATACAGCTATATTAATGAAAAATTGAACATTAATACTATTAAGAATAGTTTGCTCTTAAGTTGTGATTCATGTTCATCATGACCTGTGGTTGGAACATGAAATTCAACTTTCGATTAATTCGTGGCTTCTTCCTCATTCTCTACCGTACTAATTGCAAGTACCGTTGATTGGGGGAAAACAATAGCAGGTAATAACATTCAATTCCTTCTACCAACACCTTTCTATATTATTATTCAAATTATTCTTCCATTTTTTCTGTGACTTTCTTCCATCTAAGTCTCCCAGAAATCGTCATTAACTTGCGTATATGTTAACTTAGATTCAAAATCATTTTACGTTTTGTTATTTTTATTCCTTTTGTTGTGTTTCGTAAACGTTCGCCAGTATTTTTACTACGTGTCAATTTTAAAATTTACAACTCGAGAAATAACTATAAATCTCAATATATAATTCTAAGAAATTCCATTATTTAACTATACCTAAATAAATATTGTAAATATTTGTATTCGGTTAGTAATAAGCTAGGAAAGGTGTATTTTTTTCATTTCTTGAAGACTCTTCTTTTATTTTTAAACAAAAACATACGTTTGAAAAAATTGAAATTAATTTATTAATAATAGTCTAAAAAGATGCAATTGATGTATATGTCCTGTGCATAACGTCATTCTTCAAGAAATTAGCTCTACGTTCAATAAAAATGTCATTGTAAAAACTGATGGAAGATATAATTGTTATTTTTATGAAAGTGAAATTGCATGAAAATAAATTCTCTGTAATTAGATATTATTTCTTTTACATTTCACACGAAATTTCTCCATGTTTATTGACTCTAATCGAAGAATTTATTTCCACTGCGATGAACCTCCATTTAACTTTGTTTCCTAATTTTACAAATCAATATATCTCATGACGATTGTGTGCCATGCTGCCAAATACTATGTTGAAAAATTAGGTTTCTCGATTGTTGAATGGTATCCGAAAATCGCATATTGAACTACAAAGCGGATTGTGAATATTTTCCTTCCTTTAAAAAATTGTATTTCGTAGCGATGCGTCCAGAAATAAGCTCTTCAATTTCCCATCAAACTCATCGAACCCGGCCTTCACATTGATTATACCCTTAAATATTGAATGCAATTAAATAAAAGGCAATTTTGAACAGGTAGGGGTTTCTTTTCTCTGACACTTATGGCTTCCCTTCGTGAAGTTCTAATGCAAACAGTACGTCATGTTATTGA